CTTATCACGAAGTGATTTATAATGTACAACGTCCAAGAACAAGAACTAATTTCAGAAAGAAATTACCGATTGAAGAGATCCACGGTAAACACTAATTATTCGGCTAGCAACATAGCCAGGTGCTCTCTCCCTGTCATTGTATACAAAAATTATGAATAAAGTAGGAACAAATATGAATATCGTATTTCTGAAACAAATATTGACAGCAACAGATTGATTTCACTAATTATAGTGATGGGATGAAATTATCCAGAATATAAAAAGCCGTTAGTATTTTTAATGAGCAAAGTATTTTGCAGCAAAATTACAATACACAAATATTTTACACATATTCATAAAAAATAAAATCCGCGATCTTGTTTCCAGTTAACAAGGAATACCTTACTGTCCATAAAATTTTCAATTCGTAAATAATCGTAATAATAAAAAAATCGAATCAAACAAACTTTGAAAAGGTTGATCCTATATTAGTATAAATATGTTATTTTAAATGATATGATGTATACTTTTTTTATTTACAAGTATGCAAATTTACAAAACATTCGTCCGTGTAGACCTCGATGACTAATCCGTTGACCTCCAATTCAACAAACAAGTAGTCTTTAAACAAGTCTCTGTTTACTCTTTCTTCTGTGTTTCAACTTTCTAGTTTATCAGGAAAATAAATAGATGAGAAGGGATGAAATTTATCAATTACTTTCATGACTCCTGAAACTGTCAGAAAATAAATGCTAGATAATATTAAAGCCTTGTGTTAAAATCATAAAACGTTCATGGCCAACATTAATGAAATTTTGAAAAGATTCAAAAACCAAGTGTAGAGCGTTGCATTCCTTTCACTTACTAAACTACTTTTAACAGAAGTTGTTTTTGTAAATAAGTTGATAAACCTAAAGAAAAAATAGAAGATAAACAAATCTGGTGTGTCCATTAACACGACTTTTCTACCTATTTTATAAAAGTTTTTATATCTTTAAATATGCCCGTTAAGAGAAAAAAAATTAATTAGATTTATTTTCCTGAAAATCGATCAAAGAAAAAAAATTGAGTATTATTTATTTGATAAACTAAAGCAATGTAAACCGGCTTGTGAAAGATCACCAAAAAAAGTTCGATATACTCTTATATTGCTAATCAAAAACTTTTTGCTATAGCACAATTTTGTCCAGTCAATAATTTCTGTTAGAATTAGAGGAAATATATAATACATATAAAATAGAATACGCTGTATCATCGCTAATACTTCTTCGATTCCGATGATTTTTTTTTACGTAATTTAATTAGCTTTCAAAAGTTTGTTTATTAATTTTACCATAGAATATATACTTAGCGAGTTAGTATATAGTTAATGTTACATAGCGTGCCAAATACTTTTGATGGCGAAAAACGTATAAAAATGTCTCTGGATCGCCAAGTCTCACTCCATTTCTAGTTTTAACGAATTTATCACTTTCTTGAAAATTTGAGCCTCTGTGCATTTGACAAAAAACAATAGCACCAGATGACCATAAAATATGATGACATATTTAAGGATTCCTCAACATATGTAGATATTATAAAAGAATTCTCAATTAAAATAATTCTCAAGAGCGATTGCCTATTGGAAGAGAGGACCGCATAGGATATTGGCAGCTTGGAGCTCGCAATTAGCGGTTTGCCAATCCAATTTCCTCTCCCCTTGGGACAGTTTGTCCACCGCCTCTCCTCGGCGGCTATTTTCCCGCCAAATAGCGTTTAAATGAATCTGCCGGCCTTCAGGTGTAATAACATCTAATTTCAATAGAGCGGCTACTAGGAAAGGTTACCAGGAATTAATTGAGGCTCCAAACACCTCTCTTTCATTAAGCCTTTAAGCACGGATCTATTATTGCCTGGAATGAGGTTTTATACAACTGTATTTCTTCTGTACGGAATTACAGATTTTGGCGATGGGAGATTAGAACATAGAAATAGCTTTTATTTAATTGTAAATTTAGTTGTTCTTTTCAAATTTTTTAGGCAATCATTCTCTAGTTTTTTCAAACTTCAATAATTTGAAAATGAATATGTCTACATTTTTCTTGTATCAAAGAAAGATGATTAGTCCAGTCAACGAATGCTCGAAAAGGTGGTATAGAAGGAAATGGCGGCGACACAATTTTTGACTTTGAGAGATTGTTTGGAGTAGTAAGGAGGTGAACATACTAAAAGTCCCCACTCCTAGTTGGCGATCAAGATGTGAGGGAGGGGGGAGGTGGAGAAGGGAGCGCCTAGTATTTCCCTTATTTTATCTCAAACGGTTCAAAGATTAGATCAATTATAACTTTATATGTAAATTCTGAGATTTTTCAGAAAAAAATTATCTTTATAATAAATTTTATTGTATGTATGTATATGTATATGCATACCTAGAGATTTAGATGTATAAAGAGTTAGAGCAATGTAATAATAACGAATATTATACAAAATATTTTCGTCTGCAAATTTTCAGAATTTACATATGAAGTTACAATTTATCTAACTTTTGAATCGTTGGAGATAAACTTGTAAAATGATATATATTCTTGAAGAAAATTTAATTATTAAAAATTTTCTTTCTCGTGACTTAATCGTAAAACAAATCAATAAAGAGTTAGATAGTTAAATACAGTAGAAAACATGAGGCAAAGCATTTTTTTTTTTCACATTAGCTATAACTGAGGACAGATATCTCGGAAACTAAGCTAGATGGCGAAAAAATGTATATAATAAATCATATTGGAAATTTTATCTCCTTTAATTTTGTATGAAACGTCTTTGTCGATGCGATGGATAGTTTTCCTGATATAAACGAAAAACCGAAAAAAGTGGCCTAGTTGGCACTCTCCCCTCCCTCATCTGGCTCACCATCTAGGAATGGGGACTTTTAGTATGTTTACCTCCTTACTAGTCCAAACAATTTCCCAAAGTCAAAAATAGTGTCGCCAACATTTCCTTCTATAATAATTCATTGACTGGCCTGAATGAAAACCGTGGCAGTACTGTTTCATATCATCTGCCTGCCTCATGGACGGTCCACAATCCAAGCTTACAATGCTAATATAATTTTCTTAATTTTTATCAGTTACACAATGGACTTAATCTGTAACCCATTATAATAATAACATTTACTTCACCCCCCTCTGAACAATTGAGCTTATTGAATGTGTCGATTGGTAGTGAATCATGTATTGACAATTCCCATAACTCAAAGGACAAATCTATCTCCAATGGCTTAGAATTATTAAATAACAATACCGACAGAACTAAATAGGACCTCTTATCAGAACTTAGAGAATAATAACGGATTTCGGTAAAAGTTCCTTTTCTTCTCACAGGCCTCATGTATACATATTGAACTTTCTATATCAAGACATAGTTTTTATTTTCCAACAGTTGTTAGATTATAGATGTGTTGTTAACGATTTGATTTTATGTACCTGTTATTATTTGTTGGTATTTTAAATTGTTTTTTGTATATACATTATCCTTCATATAAGTCATGTGTCGTTCTGATACATCCAAACACGACCAATGCCGACCAAACACAAAATTATCTGCTGCTGCTGAAGATCCTCTCACGTCTTGGATTGAGAAATATATATTATATTAATTCTTAAACATCGTTGATTTAGCGATGGCGTAAGGTTTATAATCAAGGATTTTTATCTGAGCAATCGGCCAAGGGCAAGATCAAATTTGTTTACTCCTATCTTCTGTTGATTAATTCCATTTTCCAATATTGTTTTTTGTATAGCTTATGTATTTTATTGTTTTTTTTTCCTCAGCATCTTTTGGTAGAGATAAGGATTTCAAGATTTATATTATGGAATTCCGATTTATATAATAAATTGTCAAAGAGCGCTGCGCAGTTTCTGATGAACTTGTTGCGCAGTTAAGCTGTGCTGTTCCCACTCATACATAAAGTACTACACAATCAAGATTTAGAGAAGCGCGAATATGTGTATTTTAATCAGTCGTTAAAGAGCTTATTTGTAATTTTGAAGTATTTGGTGTATCCACTCAACTCCTTATCATTTTTGGTGAAAAGTCCAAAAATTGTTTGCTTTGTCTTATTTGTTCCGACATTCTAATATTGATCCAATATATAAATATATATGTTATACGTTCTAAAATTTTATTTTTTTATGAATGAAATTACCTATTTCTACTCAAAGTATGGTGGTAAGTGAGTGAAAGTTGTATGATACGCATACAGCACCAGAGTGTTTTAGAGTACATTGGTGTATTCAAGTATCGGGATCTCAATGTCTTGCGCCAAAAGAACGTTATATTAATTTGAAAAACTTATTAAAGAATATGAGAAGGAGTTGGTCGGGAGGGGGGGAGGGAGGGAGGTGCGGTCAAATGAACACTAAATTTTTAAAAAATTATACTTTTAATTAGCATTTTTTAAAAATTTAGTATTTATTTGACCGTACTCCCCGACCTACTCCTTCTCATATTATATCATGGTCAACCATCTCTACATCATTATTAAAGAATAATTGAGTATATTTAAGTACAGAGAATTTTCAGACTTTGTTCTGAAAATAACAAAAATGGAATCTAAGCAGTGCGAAATATATTGCAAATAAGTCTGATAACATTAGATTTGTCGATGTTTTAAGCTAGTCGTCTTCTTGTTTTGTAGAGGTGCGCCGAAGAATCGCTCTTGATAAAAATTTATCTCATGCTCAATATCAATTTTTGCTTAGAATCATATTTCTTAAATATATGAGCTAGAACAAATTAGAGAATGAAATAATGAAGAATCACGAATGGCTTCATCCTCTAGGTAGATGCGAAAGCGCGGCACGCTTTTCATGAAGTGATATTGCTGCATCTCACCGCCCCTCTAACGACCTAGTTTAAGAATAGCTTTAGACATAAAAATAATTAAAGTTCTTATCATGTGCATGCCTCTTGCTCATTAAAAAATTATGCATTGACACGCATTATAGGAAACTCGAAAAAAAAAAACGAATTTTTTTTATCTGCAGGTGGTTGCTGGGGTCACTTCGCCCATACGGTTTATCGGGAACTTGAGAATGGAGCTTCTCGATTTCCAGACGAACCTGATTCCTTACCCTAGGATACACTTCCCGTTGGTGTCATTGGCACCCATTATTCCTCCTTCGAGGACCGCTTACGAACCTCTCAGTACCTCAGAGCTCATCAAATCAGCCTTTATGCCGGATCACCAGATGATCAAGATAGACCCCAGAAGTGGTAGCTACATTGCTTGTTCCCTCTTCCTCAGGGGTGACGTACCTCCGAATGACGTAAACTCTGCCCTCGGTCAGATAAAATCAATGAAGGATGTGAAATTTGTCGAATATTCGCCATCAAGTTTCAAGGTATGGTAGACAACTTTTGTTGTGATTGTTTTTACTAGCCTTATTTAAAACAAAAGGGAGGCTATTCTTATTTCTTAATGAGGGTGGTGATAAGTCGAGTGGTTAGAAGTACACAGTGTTGTTTCATTTTCATTCTGCCTTCCACCTCATTTGAATTTCCATCTCTCTATTATATAGACCAGTATGCCATATTTTATTTTGTTTTAGTATTAGGAGCGTAGGGAGTTAGTTACAGCACTAATTACACAGCTGTTCAATTAATTACATTTGTGTTAACATTTGTACTCCTGTTACATAATTCTCTCCTAATACAAAATAAAGAATTTACACTAAAATTTTTTACGGAAAATGGTATTTATTCATCTGGAGGTGGCAGTTAGATTTTACCTAGATGACAACAGTTACTTTTCGATCTAGACCTTTCCCCTTTACTACAATATATTAATTATTATATTATATGTAATATTATTTATAATACATTGTGATATAATTATAATTATTATGAAATAGAAAAGGAAGCACAATATAACGAACAATAAAAATATTAGAAATAAAAGACTTCAATTATTGTTGTGCTTATATGAAGTTGGACAAGTTGAATACATATTATGGTTACAAATTGGCAAAAAGAATAATTATAATTTTATAATAATGTAAACTGGAAATGAGTATAATATAGATTTTTAAAGAAATTAAAAATTTGTCCGAACTGTGGTTTCGTTCAGTTAATTTTTTTGATAAAAAATAATATAATCTGTATGTAAAATAAAAGAATATATGTAAATTAAAGTTATACAATTTGAGCAACGAGTAGTAAAATTGTATAAACATTTGTATAGTTTGTAAAATGGGGTCTGGTCCGCCGTTAGGCGGACAGAGGGTACCTCCCTAGTCTCATTAATTTATTAAATATAATGCATAATGTAAATTATTATACTCTGTGAGAAAAAAAAAGCTTGGAGATTACATTTAATATTAATAATTGATGACCCCAACGTGTCAAAATAACGAGGTTATATCGCCCAAACGGTCCAATACCTTCAACCTTCAGGTTCGCTAAGCCTTTTATTTATCATCTGTTATCAATAACAATATGTAATTTATGGTAAGTGTACTTATGGATGCAAAGTTTATGATATTTAAATGCTATATTGTATTGGATATTAGAATGGAAATACTGCCTTCAATTTCGTGATATTTCTTCCTCCTCCACCTCACTCAAAAAACAACATCGTTTTTAAATAGATTAAAGCTCCAACCCCTATTTGTTAGTAATGGAACAATATTTAACCGCATGAAAGCCCGGATGAACTTCTGCTTCCTTGATAAGGTAGGAAAATAACCGTGGAAAACTAAATCACAGTGCAATAAAGTTAACCTGATTATTATCGTGGGTGAGTTTAATGAACACCGCTATAACAGGAATTAGTACGCCAACTCGCTTTGTTTCTAACTCAATTTGTTAGCCTTGGTGACACTACTTTCCTACCCATTGTTACATTCTACATTCTGTACTTTTCATTCATTATGACCGTTTTTTTTTTTTTTTTTTTTTTTTTTTTTTACTTTAACTGCTTCTGGCTTGAAAATTCACTCCTCATATACAGAGTTCTTACTTTTTTTATTCACCTGGGGGTAATACAGCTGTTTTAGTAGGTACATATATATTACCTTTTTGAATTTCTGACGTAGCTGGGCAAGCTGCCTGTTTTAGTTTCGCTCTCTGATCCATCGGAAAGGACTGAATAAAATGTCCCTTGGAAATCATATTAATATACAGACCCACTCATTACTGTTTATTCACAAAATCACTTCACATCAGTGAACTTTGTTATTTCAATCAGTACATCAGAATTTATACATCGGGATTTAAGAAAAGGATTCACTCCCCTAAACGTCCTCTTGTAATAAAAAAACAAAAAAAGAAACCACCACCTGTACCTGTACCACTAACAACACTAAAGGTTCTTGGGTTCAATAAAATGTGAGGAAATGTTGCAAGGCCAACGGTTGTGCAGGGAGGTGATTGGGCCAATATCAGGTTCCCCGCCAGGTTTTCCACTTTAATTAATTATTTCCAGGAGGGTCTCCCGGCCCCAGGATCGATCGACGGTTGTTGAAAAATTACTAGTCATCAGCCGGATTCGAACCTGGGGCAATGAGCTCTGGAAGTCAGTGCCCACCTACTGAGCTACCCCGATAACTACTCTTGTTATAACCCTAGTGAATATCTGGATAAGGCTCCGAAGCAGAAAATATCAGACTGTTGCAGTCTTTGGTGTACAAGAAGTCTCTGAGTAAATTGAACGCTATTAAGAAAGCCTCTTTGGCAAATGACATAAGTTAAAGATTTATATAATAGCTTCATAATTAATTTAATTATTACTATCCTTTCCTTTATTTAGAGTTGATACTATTTTTTTTATAAACCTACTAATTCGTAATTGGTTAAAAATCAAATTACAGTAGAATTTCCAATTTATAAACTATCATCTATCCAACTCCATTAGTGGTAAGTAGAAGGGGAAATAATCATTTTAAGCTTTTCACAAACAAAAGCTGTCAATTACATAACAACTGCTTTTATATTATGTTGTCTAGTCAATTTTTGATATATAAAATGCGTAAACCACAATGATGGTAAGCATTATTAATAGTGCACGAAAAAAAGTTATCATATTAGTCAATATTCGTTGTGTTACGGCAAGAGATTTTGTATAATAAATAAATATATGCACCGCCTTTTGATGGTCTGAAGGCCAAAATGCTGAATAAAACCGGACTCTATGCTCTCACTGAGAACGAGTTTCTTCAACTAGTGACGGAACAGAACTACCCATACTACAAAGAGTTTGTATACGGGTAGAAAGCTGCACTGGGTCCGACATACATATAATCTGGGAACAAAGGACCAGCTTTGGAAGTCCACCAAATTGACGGAACTATCTTCTACCTGAAGACCCGAAAGAGAGAACAATATTTTATGAAAAGTTTGAAAATCTTGTATGCTTAATAGCAGAGATGGATATACACATAGTTATGTGATATACTATCCCTGAAAAACCCTTGTAACCGAAAGGCAAGGAGAGAACGAATAAATTCATATGACTAATATACCATTAAGTTGTTTAAAATGCTAATTAAAAAAATCATTTATTTATTTAATAGGATTCTCATTGAATTTTTTATTTCGTGCAAATATTAGCAATGTTTTTTCTGAGAGTTTTGTCCTTTAAAACCATGATTTATCATTCTGTAAATATTTACTCCATAATGTGTCCAATGCGATAGTGTTATCACTCTTAAAAATACTTAAAATTGATTTTCTTATTTCTATCTTAATTTTTTTTTGTATTGTTTGTTGCATTATTATGAGTATTGTCAACTGATACTATGGTGTATTTGAAATTAGTTACATGTGTCAAAATGTTAATTCAGGCTGACGAATATTAAAACGACTAAACATATTTTAAGTTTTTGCAATCGTATCAAACTAAACATGTTCCACTTTTCTTCTAATATCACTTATACGCTTATCTACTAGTCTTCTTAGGTTTATAATTGGTTTAAAAAAAGAAAGCGATGCTGGAATACAGCGTAGTTTTATCCTAGCATTTTTAGTAAGTCAGTGTTATCTATAGCAGACCTATATGGTTCATGTGGTGTATTGAATATATGCATCACAGTTAAATAAGAGTTTTAAGGATTATTCCTGTATAACCTATCCTGAAATAATCAAGGATAAGCTCTTCCTCCCATGTAAGTTCCAAATTCTTTTTCGGACGTTTATTGGTGCACCATCCTTTATTTATTGTATCTCACGCAACTAGGATTTCAGCTGGGTGGAGGAGAGGGGGGGAAGAGGAGAGAGGTATAAGATTTTGCACCTCTCTTGTCGGGGGAGTCTTTTAAATCCCTGCCCACACCTCCTGGCCCGGGAAAACCCCGTATAGCCTTCAAGACGAGGAAGGGGAGGACCAAAAAAAAAAAAATGTGTATTATCTAAACCTTAGTATTCATATTCTAGTGCTATGCACCTGTCCGGCAACCTGTTAACCTGGGAGGAGAGGGAGGAAGGACTTTTAACTACTTTCTTCTTTCCCACACTCCTTTCCGATGTACTTTTAAAAATAATTTTTATTTATTGTATATCCTTTTTTATTATTATTTAGTTTATATTGTACTTTTATTTTATTTTATTTATCTATATTTTTTGTAAATACGGTGTGAATGATCTCTTTTCTCACTATAACCATTGATACTTATTGTAACATAATTTGTTACTCTCTCTCTCTCTCTCTCTCTCTCTCTCTCTCTCTCTCTATATATATATATATATATATATATATATATATATATATATTAATGTAAGTGCATTAATGTAACTTTTTTTTAAAACAACAACTTTTCAGCAGTTTACTCCTGAGTTCCTAATATATCCTCGAACTTAAGTTTAGTAATCAGGTTAAAAGGGAATGATGAGAAAGCTCAGAAGAAGGAGAAGAAGAAAAAAAGTATCACCGACCTCCTGGGCAGGAACCCCAATTACAACCAGAAAGGACCTCTTGAACCAAGAGAGATGCTCCAATTTAAAACAAAGCAGAAAAGAAACAAATTGCAATTCCCTTTTTGGTGACACGTTGAAGTGTTTTTGGCTACCAAATGAAGTTATTTTTAAGTTCAGAAAAGTGCGCGACAATCTTTTGAAAAGTGTTTATTCAATAGCTGCATGATTAAAATGGTTGCTGAAAATACTTGGTTAAAGCATCAAGTTACTTTTGGACGGTTCCACATTGTACTCTACATCATTCAAATGGTTGTTCATAATTATAATTATCAACAACTATTTGAAAGATGGTTGATAATTTTCAACAATATTGATTGACGGTTTCACCATTTTTGATGTCTTCAGGAGTCACAAAAGCATATTAATGCCCATTACCTAATGACATTGGGCAACAAAAAACAAATTTGTGAATGTTTCCCGCACTTCATGAGTCAATTATTACTAATTTTGGGTAGATAAAAACGGTTGTAACAGTTTGGAAGTTTCTTATAATCTAATTATAATTATTGTCTCTTTATATTTTTCTCATTTTCTATAAAATACATATTGTAAGTTATTCTTATTATTTTTTATTATATTACTTATTGTTCGTTTAAGACAAGATATGTTTTGTTTAATTGGTTTTCTTGTAAATGTAATGGTTTTATTGTATGATGAGATTCTAAAAATTTGATATACAATAAGATTTTATTTGTATTTTATGGCAGCATTCAACAACTATTAACCCCGAACAAATGTATTAAACTATTTATTTGTAAATTCTGTTTCGTCCTCATCAATCTTTATCAGACACATTATTTAATTTTATTATCATTAAAAATAAATACATAGACTAAATGATTTTCAGTGTGGTTCTTCGTAGTTTCTGTTCTAAATCTGTTCTGTACTTCCTATCTTCATTATTAAAATCTATTTAGAAATTTGAATATGGAAGCAGTAGTGAAGGTTGCAATTGCTATATTACTGAACACCGCACAAGGGGTTGCGGAAACCGCATTTATCATAGTTTCCTGTATTGAATAATATAATCTGCTGAATATAATTTAAGTTTAATTTCTTTTCCAACGATATCATTTTTACAATTTACTATTTGTATCTGTATCTAAGTGGTGGCATACAGAGACATATATTAAAGAATTAATATTTCAAAGCAAATTTACAACTTATATACACCAAGAAAATCATTATAGGAGAATGCTAGTTTGGATAAGATTGATTGGAAAAACTATTTAGTTATTGGTTACCGAACAGGTTTACAAGATAATATCTGAATGGATATTATAACTTAGCTGGTTTTATATTGGAGGTCTTTTCTATTTCTTTCTGACGTTAGGCGGCGACGTCATCTAGAGGTCTCTTATATTGGTTGCTAGACGAATAAATTTCGACTGGGTTATGCATTTTCGGACTAAGGGACAAGAGAAAATCTCACCACTCCAGAACTGCACCAAACCTGTATGACTGTCTTTAACCGCTTGTCTCTAATTCTCTTAATTCAACTATCTCCCTGGCTGTCTCTCCTCTGCCCTTGTTTTTGACTCCTTTTTCCAAGTTTTTCTTATTGGTTAAAGTTTTCGTTGCAGAGGGAATGACCACGCCATAAGGCCGCACCAGGGGTACCCAGAAGAGAGTTTTCATGTCAGAAGTTGCGCCATCAATATTTTTGAGGGGGCACATTTTGACGGGTTTTTGAATTCTTGTCGGAGGTAAATTTCGACGGGGTTATGAATTTTTTTAATTAGGGACAAGGTAAAAACCTGGAACAGACAGCAGCAAGTGCAATTGTTTATGAGATACGATTTTTCTAATTCTACCTTAACTTATTATTTTTTTGAGAAAAATTGGACAGTAAAATATCTTGGGAGAAGGGAGGTAGGTTCATGCACCATCGATCTTTAGCGGGATGGGCACCCCCGGGCTGTACGACCGTTTCTTATTGCTTGAAATTGTTTTGGTCCTTCTCTGTATCGACTATCTGTTTTCCTTATACTAATGATAATGTATTAGCGTTTCCCAGGTCTGTGGGATTGTCCCGGAGTCTGTCCATTAGTGTTTATTGCCCCCCAGTCGCTAAGGTCGTCCAGGTGGATTAACTCCGTGTTAACTGACCTGTGCTGGCAATTATTTTACTAATTAAATATGAAATATTTAAATATATTTTAAATCTAGCCTATACGATACATAGCACAATTGATATCTATCTATATAGATAGATTGATAGACACAGTTTATAGAACCTTGTTAATACAACTTAATAATGGTCAAAACATTTGATTCTTGAGAATGAAATACGATTCTTTTAATTTTTTTTTAGGATATTTCCATAAATAATGAGTTTCATTAATCTGAAAAATTCCTAAGGCCTCCTTCCATATTTTTCTATCCTGAGTCTCTTCCTCTCGTCAACCATGTCCCATCATAGAACCTTTTATTTGCTCATTTCACTTTTTCTTGGTCGAAATCGTTTTCTTCTTCCGTAAATTTCCCAGAAATCTTCTATTCTTATTTTTTATCCGGGCATGCGGATATATTTGAATATTTTTGACAATATATATAACAATATATTTGAAGTTCTTATCCATTTACAATGGTTCTCCAGGGGTCAGTTCTATGTCATCAGTACTGGATGACAAATCCCATCTTATTATTGATAACCACCCTTGTTCGGATTAGCATTGGTCAGATATCTATGATCATGTTCTGAGCATACATATAGCATCTTACTGGTGATTACTTAGTCGTATGCAAAAAATAAGTCGTTGAGATATACTTCTTTCAAATGAAACTTATGGTCTTATATTTCTCCTTCATTATTTTGAACAGATTTGAAGAAAAAATTTGGAATAAAAAACAGAGATTGATTTAAAATTAGCTATACTGCATTGATTTGATTTTTTTTCTAAAGCTCGTATTTACTTTAATTATGTAAACAAGCTCTACAGTTATATTTTCATCATCAGTTTTGATTTTAAGAACATTTAGTGCTCTTGAACTTCTAGAGTGAACCTCTTACTGCTGCGTGGTGCCTATGAATTATTACCTTATATTTTTATATGATGTTACTTATGTATATGTTACTTACGAATTTTACAATTAATAATTTTTTGATACCAGGTCGGACACAGCTACCAGCCAATGATATTCGTACCAGGCGGTGACCTAGCAAGCTCCCCACGTTCCATTGTCATGGCCTCCAACCACTCCGCTATAGGGACCGCCTGGTCACGGCTTAACTCCAAGTTCGATAGGATGTTCAGCAAGAGAGCCTTTGTCCATCACTACGTCGGAGAGGGCATGGAAGAAATTGAGTTCCATGAAGCCCAATCAGATCTGAAGCAGCTCGAAGAGGATTACAAGATGGCGGGTTCGTAGATGTTGGGAAATTAAAAATGGTCTTTCCTTGATATTGTTGCATTTTTTTTAATAATAAGGTCATTACTTTATTTTGTACTTTTTTATTTATACTATAGACGCTACTCTTCGGTCCGAAACTGTATATTATATTTTTGGTAACTAGAAGAAGTGTTGTGATCAGGAATACTTTTGATTGAAATCTATTTGTTAAATATCTAACAAAACTCATTTTTTAAATATAGCTTCCTTAACGGGGTTCAGTAATTTGTTGAAAATCTAGCGAGTGCAACAGAAAATCGAATTGAAACACGTAATTTATTATTTCTTATTTTTATGTCTAATAAAAAATATCTATATTGACCCGCAAATTGGTTTCTGAATTCTCCCTGGTATTTAAATTTTAAAATATATTAGTACTGATGTTCAAATATTCATTATTATTTTTTAATTTATTTATTTTTATTTATAGCTCTCATACACACAACGAGGATGAAATGCTGAAAATTTGTCTACCTTATATCACGCAGGCCCGATTCTAGTTTCTGAGATATTTTAATCCATCTGTCCAACAAAACTCGTTATCATTTGGATTTCAATACTATATTTTTCTCTTTCCGAATCTCTAACTCGGCGTCATGTCAAAATACAGTTTTACATTATAGCTTGTTACAAAGAGGATGGAATACTGAAAATTCTTCTAGATTACATTATTCAGGTCCAAATTTTAGTTTTTGGGATATATATATATATATACGTATTTATAAATCTTTATTGAGAAATATTACAATACATTTATACATATAAGGACAATAGTAATAGTTATACAGGAGTAGCTATTTACGCTCTAAGTCCAATAAATAAAAATAAATAAACAGCAAAATAATAATAATAAAAGTAAATGTATATAAAATAAAATAAATTAAACTAAACAAAAAGAAACTAAACTAATTAAAATAACTATTTAAATACACACATACTTTTATACAATATTTACAAAAATCCATTCACTCAAGATCTCCGAGCCAAGCCTTTTCCCCATTCGTGGATGGAAAGGCAGAACTCTAGGAGATCCCAGCGCCTCACTCAGCCGCATTACTGGTATTAAGGATTAGTTTTGAGTAGTGTTGCCCAAAAGCGAGACCCAGACGGGTATTGGTCTTGCAAATTCAGTTTGGTCATGGTCTTGGTCTTGCACAACAGTTACAGTACTGTATTTTGTAGATAGGAGAAACCTAACTAAGCCTGAATGAAAAATTAGAGGAATTACATGCAAAACTATATTGGTTATACCAATTATTTACATATAATAACTAAGATTGTCGAGTATTAAGTAACTATTTTGCCTTACTTTTTTATTAAAAACATCGATTTTTTTTACCATTCCTGGTCTTGGTCTTGCAACAGTTAGGCGGCCTTGGTCTTGGTTTTGCAAAGTGTAAGACCAAGACCGATTTTGGGCAACACTAGTTTTGAGATATATATAAATCCACTTGTTCAACAAAACTGGTTATCATTTGATTTTCAACACTATCGTTTTCTCTTTCGACTCTTTAACTTGGCGTCACGTCAAAATACAATTTTGAATTATTATGTTTTGACAAAGAGGATGAAATGCTCAATGTTTCTCTCGCTTACAGTATGCAGTTCTGATTTTTAGTTTCTGAGATGCTTTAATCCATATGCAAAAGCACTTTAATTAGTCTACTCGAGCCGACTTTACCCGAATGAACGTTACCTATCCGACGGCTTAATTTCATCCACGACCCGCAAAAAAGAGCCAGGTGCGCCTAAAGAAGTTTTCGCTTCAAAAACACCAGGGAAAACTTGCTCGCCCCATAATCTATAATAATACTATATCTATGGCATCCCTACCTAAATAGTACACTAATATGTTTTTATTATTATTTAATAACTGTCTAACTATTGACTCGTTTATGAATGCAAACACCATGCTGTGGACCACAACGGAAAACGCAGCCGACGAACAATGTCATAGTTTCAAAGTTGAACCACGTTGAGCCTGCACTCCCAATACTTGTGATCCTGTCCTCTATATTCTGGCCACGCTTCACCGTCGCTTCTTTCCTGAGAGAATTTCTTTGTCCTTCAGTGATCGGGTCAAAGCCAAAGAAAACAAGGCTGATGTTTGCGTGTTATTATTTATTAAGAATATAATTTTAACTGTCGGCAAAAACGTAGTTATACCTTAAAAGTTAAACAAAAATAAATCTTATGAAATTAATAAAAAATACAACGTCATTGTTTAAAACTGTCCTACCTTGATGATTTTATCGAAAGATTTTTTTTTTTATTTCCTGTATCAGTAGGTACTGTATTTTAGAAGGGCACTCACATATATTAAGGGCTAAACAATACTATAATAGTTTGTCTTTATTTCGTCATCATTTCCTAACGGTTTTGGACGTTCTCCTCACTTTAAACGTTTTTCGTACCTCTACAACCTCTCAAAATAACGTTGTAAATAAGTTTGAAATTCCCTATATAAATTGAATTGGTTTTGAAGTGGCTTTTGTGAGGTCTCGATTTTCCCCCATTTTTTTCTCCTCACACACTATTTTTTTCTTCATTTTTGAGCACAGAATACTTTCTTAACATCGAATGCAGCGGCGTTACTTTCCTGGATCAATTTGGAATTAGGGCCACCATACCGAAAGACAAAAAAAAAAAAAAAAAAAATCCGTAACTAATAAATAAACACAAGGGACAATTATTTCAGCATTACGAGACGGAACAGAGCGTTTCTGTTTTTTTAATAACCGCTAGTAGTTTAAACGTCGAGGGAAAACAACTCTTTCAAGCACTTAACCCTGCACGGATTTAAATGAGTTTGATTAGTGGTGATTCCTAAAATTTATGGGAATAACGAGCAATATTACGCAATTGGAGAGAATAGGATTATTTTAAGTTGATATCGCCTAAATACACCTTCATTTTCTCATTAGCTTTAATCCTACAAAAAATTACATAAATTCTTTTTAATTTGATGAAAAATCAGCTCCTTGAATAAATTTCGTTTAAGGATGATATGAGACATGTTTAATAAATGTCGAGTCAATCTGAAATTTATTTATTGGAGCATCCAGAATATTGCTCAGACGATTGTATAAATAAAAAAAATCACACATGATTGTGGATCCATCTTTATGGATGAGCGAAAGTTAGATAACCATCCTAGTTTGAACAAAAACATTGTTATTAGTATGCTAATATTATACAACAATATTACTACAAAAAGAAATTCATCATATATTGGGTATATATAAACGTGATTAGAGACTTCAAGAGAGAAAAAAACCTGACGGAATTGCAGAATATATTGGTGAAGCTCACATACTGAAATCATCAAGTATATTTATAATAGCACAGTTAGATGTTAGGTTATAATTAGAAAAATTCTAAATTCAACATCTGAACCGCATTCCCAGTATATATATAATTTAACTATACTTTTAATATAAATTAGTAACTAACTAATCAAGAAACATAACATAAATTTTAGGTTGAAATTGGAAAAATTCCAAACCATACAGCCTCATGTCTCCATTCCAGACCGTACAGCCTTATATCTCCCTAATGCAAGAAATAAAAAAACCCATAAACGTTTTGCCAGTTCGGGTATCAACATGACAGAAAACAACAGCTAATTGGACAATACTCAGAGAGTATGCGATTGGATGTCAGGGAGTGATGTTCGATTAGTTGTTCTTTCCTGTCCTGATGATGCATGAATTAGCGAAACGTTTACGGAGTATTTCTCTTTGCCTGAATTTGGGAGACATAAGGCTGTACGGTTTGGATTTTTTTAGAATTGTAACCTAACATTTATGTTTTGTCTCTTGACTAGTTTGTTACTAATTTATATTAAAAGCATAGTTAAATAATATGTATACTGGTAATTCTGTTCATTGGTAGGAATTATAGATTTCATCTTTCGTTTTTAGTTCTTCTACTGAATTGATTTACAACAGGTCAATCCGCCTCAATTTAAGTTAAGTACTCGTAAAAAAAGTTAGCATTCCCGAATTATCCACCTCAATTCGAAATCATATGACCATAGATATGATGTATTTCGAAGAAAAAAACAATTTTATAAAATGTCAGACCATATCACCCGAATAGAAATCGACGCCTAAGGGCATACTCCATACCAAGGAACAAAAATTTTCAAATCAGTAAATATCAGTCGGACAACGAAAGTTTTCTTACTCCGTGGATATTTTCACTCCCACTCCCCCTCATGATAGAAATAGGATATAAACGTTTATCCATAACGTTCAAAGAGATAAATAACCCGTAGGATAAATTGAGACAGAAGAGGAAGAGATGAAATAGATACAAATGGCTACAGCAATAAAATGGCGATTTATCCTCGGCCGAAATACGGCGTGAAATAGAATTCGGGGTAAGGCTCTTCAACCACCGCAATTTATAATCTCGCTTGTAAGCAGTGGGGGATATATTATTGTCTAAGGCAACTGCTTCCATTGCAATTAAGCCATTCCCTACCTTATACGGTCTGCACAATTTTCATACATGAAATATCACTGGAAAGTGTATCTAAAAAAAACTAAAAATATTACTTGCCTGTCCAGTTTTTATTCAATTTGTATGAATTAGATCTACCAAGATAGAAAAACCTATTTTATTATTGAAGAGAAAAATAGTTGGGGTGGTCAGTCAAAAAAGAAGGCAAAAATAAATGATAATATTTATTTTTACATATGCCGACGTTTCGACCTGATGAAAGCCTGAACTATTCTTCTCTTCATTATCCACGGCAGTCAACCATTTACCAATTATGAATCTATTTTATTATTATTTTGTTTGTCAAATATTCACGGATATATTAACTAAATTATTAGGGATATTTGTGGAACCAGTGCTAACTATTGTAAACTTCTGAAATGTGTTAAAGTCAAGAAACTTATGTTAGATTAATGAGTTAAATATTACCGCTAGCCCACTCGATTTTACCAAGGACTGGTATTAAAGGTAGTGTTAAATTTGTAAACGCACGGC